TATGCCTTATTTTTGGCTTAGAACTTGTTAAGAATTCCACAATCCACTTTGCAGGAAAGAAATATTTTCTAGACAGAACAAGAAAGTCATTAATGAGCTTCAGGCATCCAAAGATTTAATAGATTAAGATTTATAACATGTACTGAGCTCTTAAAATGGAACACCTTTTTTTTGCACAGTAAATGTTTTGTTTCTTTGAAGAACAGCGACACCTTGTGAAAAGTTAATATAATAGCAAGAAAATAGTACTTGCACAGTTCAAGAGGAATTATCTGATCCACTTAACAATTATCTGCAGAATTTTAAAAAATAAATGTCTTCTTTTAATACCTGGTAGGCTATTTGTAAAGTTATAAAACAGATCATTTATGACTGGCATATCTTACCATTACAACTGATGATTTATTCGGTTCCTTTATAATAAACTGAGAAACTGACTTTAGTGGATATCAGAAGTTCTATTTGAAACTCTTGGAAAGGAAAGTAAAATTTCAAGGTAGGAATAACAAGTTGTCATTGTTGTATATATTTTTGCAAAAGTTAAACAGATAAAAGTGCTGAAGAGGGCATCAAAGAAAACAGATTCATCTAAAATACCAACTTTACTTAATGTGGATCAAAATCAAGAAAAACAAGAGGTAAAATTTTTCTGTTTATAGTTTTAGTATGGAGTGCAATTTGGAACCCTTGACTTGGTACGTAAATTTAGTTATTACTATTAGAAAGTTATATAAAAATTCAAAATTTTGTAGTCTTTGAACATGAGAAACAGTTCTATATTCTCTTAAAATGACATATCAGTAAAAGTTTTTTTTTAAATTTTTTTTTTTAAGACTTTATTTATTTATTTGAGAGAAAGAGTGAGAGAGAGAGCACGAGAGGGAAGAGGGTCAGAGGGAGAAGCAGACTCCCTGCCGAGCAGGGAGCCCGATGTGGGACTCGATCCCGGGACTCCAGGATCATGACCTGAGCTGAAGGCAGTCGCTTAACCAACTGAGGCACCCAGGCGCCCATCAGTAAAAGTTTTTAAAAGTTATTTTTTGGGGGGGTAATTAATACCAGTCCTCATTTGAATGTTGAGTGATTAGAATATATGGTACCCAGGGAAAATATTACATGTGTTATGTGTACTACATAATATTGGGCAGGTAAACCATGCCAGAGGAAACAAATAATGGTGTGAACATATAGTTATACTGGCCACAGGAACATATGTATTTATCTTTAGTCCCTCCCTTCCTGTTTTCAGTGCTGTCCACCTATTGTTCTATTTTCACAAAGATTTATTCTCAGCCGGCTATCAGATAACTGTGTTGAAATGTTCCAATCCCTACCCACCAGAGTCTTAATTTTATTTGGAATTCTTGAAGATCCTCAGTATCCAAATGCATACTCTCTAGACACTCTTTTAAGGGAAGGGGGATTGTGCTCAGCACCCACTTAATTAAATCATATAGATGGCCTTCTATTTTCCACATTTGTAAGGTCATCAATTTCATTATATCAGTTTTTTGTTTTATAAATAAAATTGATTACATTTTTATTCATGATAAAAATAGCATATACTTATTAAGGAAATTTGGAGAAATTAGAAAATAGAGAAACTTTGAAACCATACTAAGAAGGCATTTTCACTATGTCTATTCAATCTCTAAGTCATTCAGATTAAAGAGTTACCACATAACTGTTAGATATATCTTCATAGTGATGCTTATGCCTTATTTTTGGCTTAGAACTTGTTAAGAATTCCACAATCCACTTTGCAGGAAAGAAATATTTTCTAGACAGAACAAGAAAGTCATTAATGGTCATCTTTTAGTTCATTATAGAAAGTAATAAGGTGGCTTTAAATTTTTAAATTTGGGTGACTTACTGATGTCCCAGCACGTTGAGCAGCACACCCTTTGCACACTTTTTGAATGACTGACTAAATGAGGCTCCTGAGTTTGTGTATTAGGCTCCTAGTAGTGTGCTGCATGTGTTTATCCTACTGTCCTATGAGAGCCTCTGGAACTAAATTTACATTCCAATGCAGGAAGAAAGGAACTCTCCAGACAGTTCTTTCATTAAAAAAATACATAAATAAATTGGAAGGGGAAATCCCTTCTTGCTCATGTGGTGTAGAACTGCTTAAAAGATGACCTTTCTAAGAGTGACCTTGGAAAGGTTAGAGTTATTAGAGTAGTCATCAAAGATGGTCATAGTTTGTGTTACCTATTCATATCTAGTTCTGACAACCCAGTGAAATTGCATATAAGGCTAGTCCAAACACTTTTAATACATTAATGTCAGAATTAAGAAAATGTCCTAAATTTTGAGTTGGTAGTTTGTTATTTTAGAGCACAAGAGAATATGACATGTTTTTACAAGACTGGAAATAGCAACTTTTTTGTTCTATTATTGGCTGTGCCATTGACTTGTTTTTGAATTACCTACTCAGATCCAAGTGTTTCCGAGTTGTACCTTCAGTTCTTTCAGGCATCTTAAACGTATACTGAATTAGTGTATACATATACTGAATAGACAATATGATCTAAGAGAAACCCTAAATTACTGCTGATGAGGTAGGCAAGAGATGAAAGAGTCCATACAAAAGCCACCTTCAGTTCTGTTTCATGATGATCATGAAGAATACTTTGCTAAATAGTCTCTCTCACAAAACAAAGCCCAGGTGCAAAGTGCAAGCGCTTATCTGTGGCTATATTTCCTTATCCAAAGACTCACCATTTCCTCAATTAAGGTCCTATTTCTATTTACTTTTTAGAATACAGGAAATGCACAAACTGAAAGGAAGAAGAACCTGCCAGATGTAGAGTAGAAAATGCAGCAGCTGAAAATTCAGGGAATCCTAGAATCATTGTATGGTTAAAAAAAAATCCTTTTTATTAATATTACGTATACAAAAAAATGCTGACTAGAGAATTCTACAGATATATCGTAAATCCTGTGTAGTTATGTGTATATTCACCTAAATTTGTTTTTACATTTATTAATCTTTAAATTATTCATGTTTTCTTAATTAGAACACTAATTTATAAAAATTGCCTGACTGGTACATCCTAATAAAACTGCAACTTACGTTAAATCATATAATTTTATTTGATGATCTGTTATCTTAGTCATGTATGATTAATGGTCATTCTTAACTTTGGTTCAGAACTTGATAATTATAGAAGGAAAAGTTTCTAATTGTGTAATGAAGTGAGATCCCAATGTCTGGGAGCACCAAACATTTCTGAACAAACAATTATACTTGATAAGCATGAAATATGGATTTGGTTCCACACTGAACATTCTAGAACAGCATTTTAAACATATCATGAAGTTCATTTAAAAGGACAGAAATGGAGGAAAGCATTGAAGCAAATCTTTTGGCTTACCAGCATGTTTATCAATTAGTAGTTTACATAGAATATATTTTTAACATATAATTTAAACATTGATACAGTCAAGGTTTCGGCAGCATATATTTTAGTTCTTATTGCTGGTTCTTACTGGCTTGGTTTCTGATTTTAGGGTGGAGATGGCCATTTTAAGGGGAAGAATTTGAAGAGGAACAGATTTTTTTTCTGGTAGCGTCTTTTCTTTTAAATCTTAAAAATACAAATTGGCAAGTCTCTTATTTTATATACACTAGAAATGTAACATGGGCTATTAAGATAGCTGCACATCTTGTATGAGCATCCTCCAACTTTGTTTTGTTAGCAAAGCATTCACTCTTTTCTTCTTACTTTCTTCTAAGAATTTTGTTGGTTTAGAATTATGAAGTCATCTCCCCTCTCTGCCTGCTTCTTTACTTGCCATGATTACTGAGTAGGTAACACATACTATCATATGACACACCCTGTACTTACACTGATCTCTGCCCTCTGCTAGTCACATAACCTTTAGTTATGTGACTAGCATATTTCCTACAATGCTCAGGCTTCCTGAAGTGAGTTCTTAATGAAATATCTGACCCATTGTTGTAAAGGCTGTTCTTCCCTTGCATGCTTAAAAATATGTTCTTAGCTGTAATAGCATCTATAGTATTTATAAAATACCTGGAAATTATGTGGTATTCAAATGTTAAGTAAATTCTTTTATTCTTTTTGTTTTGTTTTTATTTAAATTCCACTTAGTTGAGAATTCTTTTCTTCTTTTCTTCTTTTATTCCAGCACTCTTCCAGTTTCCTAGTTCCATTTGATAGTGCCTTTTATGTGATACAAACTTTTTCTATTCCATAAAACAAATTATATACAACCCAGAGGACACACACTACCAAAATTCTTGATTGTCCTATTCTTCAAAAACAACAACAACAACAACAACAACAACAATAAAATGGGATTATCTGGTGTTTTACCAGGGCTGTACCTGATTTGTATTTACTAAATAGACATGAAAAACAAAGGAAAACATAATTTCTTTATTACACTATTGTAGTCTCTTTTCATCTCATTTTAAGATTGATTGGAATACATACCTGAGATTGTTATACATAATATATCTTTCTAACAGAATTCCTGTTACCTTTAGCAACTAATCTCCAGGGAAATTAAAAGTTGTTCCCTGTGGTAGGTTCAACAGATACAAGTCTGCCTCTTACCTGTTGCATTTGTGTATTTGTTGATCTTAGATCAATATCACTGGATTCAATTTCTACAAAAATGCCTACTTGGATTTTAATTGGGATTGTGTTAAATCTATACCTCAATTTGAGGAAAATTGGTATCTTAATAATATTAAGCCTCCCCATACATGAGCATGGTATAAATTCTCCATTTAATTAGATCTTTAATTTCTGTCTGTAATATTTTGTAAAAGTCTTATACATTATTCACTAAATTTATTTCCATATGTTTTGTTTTTTTGGTGCATTATAAATGGTATTTTTAAAATATCATCTTCCAGTTAGTTTTGCTAATATACAGAAGTACAATTTGTTTTTCTATATTGATCTTGTATTCTGAGACTTTGCAAAATTCACTTATTGTTCTAGTAGGTTTCCTTCCCTTGTTCCTTTATCTGTTACTTCCTTTCTTCCTTCTTTTTTTGTCTATTTCTTAGAATTTTCCACATAGGTAATCATAACATCTGCAGATAAAAATAGTTTTACTTCTTCCTTTCCATGTTTATGCCTTTTATTACTTTTTCTTGCCTTGTTGTACTGACTAGAACATGTGATAAATATTGAACAGAAGTAGTGAGGGTAGACATCCATGACTTTTTTTCCTATACCAGAGGAAAAACAAAACATTCAGCTTTTTCCCATTAAGTATGATGTTAGTTGTAGGTTTTATGTAGATGATCTTTATTACATTGAGGAAGGTTCCTTCTGTTTCTCTTTGCTCAGTGTCCTTACCATGAACAGGTGTTAAACTTTGTTAAATTCTTTTCCCACATCAACTGAGATGTTCATATGATTTTCCTCCTTTATTCTGTTAATGTTAATTATGTTAACTGATATTTGAATGTTAAATCAACCCTACATTCCTAGGATTAAATTCTACTTGATCCTTTTTATGTTCTGTATTGGATTTGATTGGTTAATATTTTACTAAGGATTTTGGCACTTATGTTAATGAAGGATTTTAGTCCCCCCTTTTTTTATTATATTGTCCTTGTTTAGTTTTGGTATCAGTGTAATGTTGCTTTATAACTGAGTTGGGAAGTGTTCCCTTTTCCTCTGTTTTCTGAAAGAATTTGTGTAGGATTGATTTTATATTCTCCTTATATGTTTGTTAGAAATCACCACAGAGGCCGCTGAGGACTGGAATTTTCTTTGTGGAAGTATTTTAATATGTGAATTCAATTTCCTTAAATTTATTTAATAAATATAGAGATAGCCACATCTGTTAGTCTCTTTGTAACAGTTTTGGTAATTTGCTTCTTTCAAAGAATTTATTCATTTCATCAAAGTTGCTGATTTTATTGGCATAACACTGATTATCATTTTTCTCTTGTTATTGTTTTAAAGTTGGTAAGATCTATGGTGATGTCCCCTTTATCATTTCTTGTATTGGTGATTTGTGTTTTCTTTTTTTCTTGGTAACTCTAGCTACAGGTTTATCAATTTCGGTAATTTTTTCAAAGAACTAGCTTTTGGTTTCATTAATTATTTCTATTGTTTTTTGCCTATTTTATTGATTTATGATTTATTGATTTATCTTTGTTGTTTTTTTCCTCTGTTTATTTTGGGTTTAATTTGCTCTGTGATATTGTGATACAAGAAATATGTATATTTGGTCTTCATCACCTATTTCTGGCACAGAGTTCCTAAAAACACAATTTCCTAACTAATGGGGATGAAAAGAGCATCTTTTGTTAATCATAATAAGCTCCTTACAACCATAGCTGAGTTTCATTTATTTACTTATTTATTTTTAAGTAATCTCTACACCCCATGTTGAGTGTAGAGATTAAACTTACAACCCCAAGATCAAGAGTCACACGCTCTACACACTGAACAAGCCAGGCGCCCCCATACCTTAGTTTATGATAATGAAACCCCTTTCAACCACACCTGAGTTTATGCTAATGAGGTGTGACTCAGAGTAAGGAGGCTGGTTCCCAGAGGAACTATCCATGTCATAAGAGGATTAGAATTTTCAGGTCTGACCTCTAGGAAGAGGAGAAGGGCTAGAGATTGAGTTCATCACCAATGGCCAGTGATTTAATTGATCATGTCTATATAATGGAACCTCTATGAAAACCCTAAACAAACCCTTAGGAGAGCTTTCCAGTTGATGAATACATTGAGGTCTTGGGAGAATGACGCACCCAGAGAAAGCATGGGAAATCTGCACTCCTTCCCACATACTTTGCCCTATGCATCTCGTTCATTTGGCTGTTTCTGAATTCTATCCTATATAAAAACTGATAATAGCAAGTAAAGCGCTTTCCTGAGTTCTGTGAGCCATTCTAGCAAATTATTAGACCCAAGAAGGAAGTTGTGGGAACTCCTGATTTATAGCCAGTTGGTGAGAAGTAAAAGAGGCCCAAACTTGTGACTGGAGTCTGGAATGGGGGCAGTCTTGGACTGAGCCCTTAACCTGTGGGCTAACTCCAGCTAGTGTCAGAAGTCTTACGAGTAGAGGAAGCAATTTTTCCATTTACTTTTATTTTTCTAGCTCCTGAAGGTGAAGCTGAGGTCAATGACTTGAGACTTTTCATCTTTTCTAATATGATCATTCAAAGCTTTACATTTCCCTTTTAACTGCATACCAGAAATTTAAATGGTATTATTTCAATCAGTTAAAAATATTTCCCGGGCACCTGGGTGGCTCAGTTCGTTAAGCAACTGCCTTCGGCTCAGGTCATGATCCCAGAGTCCTGGGATCGAGTCCCACATCGGGCTCCCGGCTCAGCGGGGAGCCTGCTTCTCCCTCTGACCCTATCCCCTCTCATGCTGTTTCCCTCTCTCTCTCTCTCAAATAAATAAATAAATAAAATCTTTAAAAATATTTCCCAATTTCCCCTATGATTTCTTTAGAAATGTGTTGTTAAAGGGGCACCTGGGTGGATCAGTCGGTTAAGTGTCTGACTTTGGCTCAGGTCATGATCTCAGGGTCCTGGGATGGAGCCCCACATCAGACTCCATGCTCAGCAGGGTATCTGCTTGTCCCTCTGCCCCTCCCCCTGCTAGTGCTCTCTATCTCTCTCAAATGAATAAATAAAATCTTTAAAGGAAAGAAATGTGTTGTTCAATATCAGCTATTTAGGTCTTTTCCAAATAACTTAGTGTTATCATTTTTTAATTTAATTCCATTGTGGTCAGAGAATATATTATTTCAGCCCTTTTAAATCCATTGAGATTTATTTTATGTCCCAGAATATGGTCTATCTTAGTGAATGTTGAACAATCTTGAAAAGAATGTGTACACTTGAAAATAATTTTTCTTTTTTTTTTAAGTTTATTTATTTTAGAGAGAGAGCAGAGGGGAGGGGTGGAGGGAGACAGACAAAGAATCTCAAGCAGACTCTGTGTGGAGCCCCACGTGGGGCTTTATCCCACAACCATGAGATCACTACCCGAGCCGAACCCAAGAGTTGGATGCTCAACCAACTCAATTACCCAGGCACCCCTTGAAAAGAATTATTCTTGAAAAAAATGTGTATTTTGCTGAAGTTGGGTGTAGTGTTCTATAAATGACAATTAGGTCAAGTTGGTTGATAGTGTATTTAGGTCCCATATCTTTACTTATTTTTAGTCTACTTGTTTTATCAGTTGCTGATGGGGGAATATTGAAATCTTTATATTTGTAGATTTGTCTGTTTCTCCTTTCCATTCTATTAGTAGTTGCTTTATGCATTTTGAAGCTCTGTTATTAGGTACATATATATTTAGGGCCTTTATATTTCTGATGACATTGACCTTATCTGCTGCCCAGTATCTGAAAACAGTTGTTTTATATGTTTTATCCAGTTTTATTATTGTTTAAGGTAAAACCAATACCTGCTACTCCATCATGGCTAGAACTAGAGGGTCAGTTTAAGAGTTCTGGTAGTGGAGGGGTGTGTGAGTGGCTCAGTTGGTTAAGAATTCTGTTAATTCTTTGCCAATAGTATGAAATCTTGCAGCATGCAAGTATGA